AAGGATAAGAATACATCTCCAAATTTTACATTTAAAAATTCTGAAAGGGAAAAAAAATTCTGAAAGGGATGGGAGGAAAAAAATGGGAGTCTATGTGAAAAATAATGGTCAGAGATTGATAATTCTAAAAGGTAGCTACTGTGTTCATGGAGGCATTCTACTTTTTTGCATGTAAATAAAATTTTTATGACAAAAAGGGGAAGTAATCATTAGAGACGAGGGGATCTTTTTACTAAGAAGAGTTACATTAAAATTTAGTAAAAATAAGTTAATAAAACAAAATCTTAATAATATTCATGGGGCGTGGTGGGGGGAAGGGCTTTGTCAAATATAAAAGAACTCAGAATATGGGGTGCATGAGTCTTCCATGAAAAATAAAAATAAAATAATAAAATTCCAACAGTTAAAAGTAAGTCAAAAGTTGGAACTCAGGCTGAAGTAAGGACAGGCAGTGACCCGTGGATACATTGGATGAAGACTGAATGCAGAATGACTAAGCAAACTCCTTTTACCAAGCAGAATTTGGACATGATCAAACTGGACAGTGTAAAACTACTAGCTAATGCTGATGTTGTCAATTCAACACCGCATCAGTCCGTCCATACAGTCTAGAGTGAAAATGTGGCCACTAAAATCATCACGGTGCTGGAGGGCCAATGGAGTGAGTTTCAGATGTTGCAACCAAGAGGCTGCCCCAGCACCCAGTTTATTCTGCCTTGGAGAAGGGATGCAGTCCAGGGAGCTCAGCCTCCCAGGGCCCTCAGGCTCCCAGACACTGCCTCTCCTGCCACCACACCTGAGCAATGGGAACTGATGTGGGTGCAGAGATGTGAGGGCCAGGCATGCTGTGACTGAACCACAAATGCCACATTAGCAACCTGGCCCCTGTGGACACCTGGCTCAATGCCACAGTGAGACATGGCAGTTTAGACCACAGTCCCCCCTGGACAGGCGCAGGGAGCATCTGGAAGGGCCTGCCCTCCTTTCCTTCCTGGGGCAGGGTCAACCAACCGACCGCGGGCTGGAACTCTCAGATTCCCTGAGATGAAGAGAATGTTTACCTCTAAATGTCACTCTCTCTCTTCAACTCCCAGGCATCTTTCAGGGGGAAAATATCTTGTGTGGTGAAGAAATGTCTGTGAGGTTCAAGAATTCCTTCAGTGTTACTTCAGATGCGTTTTCTTCAATTAGAATCAAGTAAAATTAAATCTTCACTTAAAAAAATAGACATATGGCATGATCCCATTTTTATGAAAGTATTTCTATCCCTCCTCCTATCTGTAAAAATGCATGGAAATATGTCTAGGATGCTGTACCAGAAATGTTAATGATGGTTATATTTGAATGATGCAACTGGAGCTAATACTTTTTTTTTTTTTTACTTTTCTGCAATGCTTAAACTGTCTATAAGGAGCATATATTTTTCCAACAAAAGAATAAAATGCTTTTTTCTTAAACAAACAAAACAACCAACCTCACTTCTTGGCAAGAGCCCTCGGGGTTCAAAGCCCCCATTTTACTTTCTTCCCTCTCTGGCTGCCCCCACTCGTGTTCTCTTCCATTTCTCCCCCTCCCTTTGCCACCTACCCAGCCTTCCAGTCCCCTTTGGCCCCCCACCTTTTCTCTTCCCCTGCTTTCCCCAGATCTAGCCCATCTTCTCCAGGACTGGGAACACCCCATCTTTAGTGCCTAGTGGTCTGCTGGCCCTTGGGAGCAGGGGTGCTGAGCTCCTTTCCTTTTCTGCAGGAGGTTGGGGTGGGGACCTTTTCAGGAAGCTGTGAGACCCTTAGGGACCTCTCCGTGTCCCTCTTCCTCTCATGACCCCCAACACCAGGGAAGGAGGCGAGAGCAGCCTGGGTGAAGTGGGAGGAGTAGAGAGAGAACTCTGGCAGGAACGTAGCTCCCCACAAGACCCAGGGATGTAGAAGAGCTTTCATCTTTTCCCAGGCTCCATGTCATCCCCTTAGCTCTACTTTTTTGTCCCCAACACTCAACAGATTTCAATATCCTATCTCAAGGGTCTCCTCTGGAAAGGGTTCACTCTCCCCTACCCTGTGCCTGGGGGAACAGCAAACAGAGTGGCTTCACCCAAGCCACACAGACTCCTGGTTGAGAGAGAGAGCCAGGTCCCACCCAGACAGGCTGCTGTAGCTTTCCCAGGACCAGCACAAGGGATAGGTGAAAGCGTGGCAGAGGGCAGGGAGGGGCTGTGAGCAAAGCCATGGGAGAGACAACAGTGCCCCACGGTAAACTCGGCTGTCGAAGCAAAGCAGACTGCTGGTTACGCTCCAGGACAGTCAATTCACCATGATGGGTGGCTCCCTCTGGGTGGAGAGAACCCCAAAGGTTTGGCATATCTGCTGTCAGTCCCCAAAAAGGGCCAGACTCTCCTTGGAGGACTCTAAATATCACATAAGCAAGGCCAACCCAGCAGGGACCCCTGAGCCCCCACCCAGTTCCAGGCAGAGATGTCAGGACTTTGTAGGATGTGGATGTGCTACTGAGGAGGAGAGCAGAGACATAAACCCAGGTGGTCAGGACTGGGAGGAGGACTAGGGGTGGGGCAGCTGGAAGGACCTGGCCTGAGCAACATGTGGTAAGGACTGAGAGTTGAGGAATGAAAGCCTGGAGGTTCTCAGCCCACAGCACTGTAGACGTGGGCTGGGCAAGACATGAGTGGTGGTAGAAGGAAAGGAATGTCCTCAGAGGACTGGCCCTTAGAAGCTTTTTACCCACCTCTTGCCCCCAGGTGATAGGTGACAGGGATAGAAGGAGAGTCTTCACTGAATATCCCTTGTACCTCTTTAGCCATGAACCATGTTAATTACTACCTTAAAAATTATAATTATTACATTTTAAGGCAAAGAGCTGACACCATGGAAGGAGGGTTATTTTCCTGGTGCAAAAGCATCAGAGCTCACTTTGGCCTGTCCAGGGGCTGGGAATATGGGCAAATGTTTCCTGGGTCCGAATTGGCAGGAAGACCCAGAAAAGGCCACACTGGAAGCAGAGACCGGCACCACAGATACCATGGGACACTGCCCTGGTGCTTAGCTACTGAGGGCTACATGCAGGCCCGGGGCATTCAAGACCAGAAATCTGGAAAAGAGACACTCCAGTAGGCTCACCAAAATTAGCAAATGAAAATACATGATGCCACACCCCTACACTTCAGGTATCTGCTGGAGAGGAAAAGCCATTCCTACAATTTTTTTTTCAGTTTTCTGTTTATGTTTTTAAAATTGTTAACCCAAATTTCTACAACCTTGCTGGCCTGTAAATGCAAATGAGTTAACTTCAAAATAGCCAATGTCCTTGGCCTGCCAATCTCCTGATCCAGGACCTTGTCCCTCTGTGATACTCCCACCAGAAGTTGCCAGGTTCTGCTCCCCTTTGGGCTGTGTGCCCACTGCCACCTCCGCCACAGGAGGGCAGTGGTTGGTTGAGCACTGTGGCTGAGGCTGTGCCACTGCACCCTCTCCTGGTGAGCCCCAGATGGCAAGTGGGGGGCACCCAAGGGTTCTTGGCTCCGCCCCCCTGCCCCTGGGTGAGAGCTCCTCTAAGACTGGAGAAAGGTCCCTTCTCCCACCTCTCACAAAGTCCAATAGCAGATGGCCTCTCCAGCTGCCCAGCCTCTGTTCTTCCTGCTTCATCGCCTCCCTCCTCATGAGCTCTTTCTGGCTTTGTACAAGCTGCATGAACAGGCAATGTCCAGCTCTGTGTCTGCTCTTGGCTCCCTCCACACCAACACTCAGCCTGGCTCTGTGCTAACCAGTAGCTCCTCCAAGGGGCAGGTTGGCCAGCTGTGGAAAAGCCCACAGCTACCTGTCACAGTCAGGGGCCCTTCCTGCCCCACTGCCCACACCATCCACATCTTCCCCTGGACTGTCACATGAGCCTGTGTCCATTGAAGCCTCCTGCCCTCATCCCACTAGTTCCTTGGCTGCTCTGCAGTGGCTCCTTCTCAGAGAGGATGGCTTTTTCATTCTCTGTCTCTCCATAAAGCAGGGCTGGGTCTGTGTTGCTGGCCACCAGGTCCTAGCATCTGGCACAGAGCAGGCACAGAGCAGAGTCAACAAATACTATTGAAAGGAAGATTAGGAGGCTCTGGAGGGCATGAGGAGTTTCCCTGGGTCAAAGGCAATGAGTGATTTTTTTTTTTAAATAAAGACACTTTATTTACAGATAATACAAAATAAACCACAGGACAAACTACTATGCAGGTAAGGGATGGCCCCCACAAAACCCCCCTCCCCATCCCAGAAGAACTTATGTAAAAAATTAAAAAGGCCCTAGAAGGAAGGAGAGGTGGGGCTGGAAGCACCTTTGCTGATTGGGGATTGGGGCCCACAGTCCTCAGCCATCCTGTTCCAGGGCAGAGTAGACCCTGGCTTGCTTCCTTCGGAGTCCTGGGCCTAGCAAGGAGGGGACATGCTGCAAGGGCAGTTGGTGGCTGTTGCAGAGGCTGCTGGGCCAAGGACCCTGACTTCTGACTCTGAAGGGTTGGAGTAAGTGGGTTTTGGGGATGGGCATGGGGGTGGCATTATTGCAGTGCTCCAGCTGACTTCTTCCTGGCCCTGTATGCGGGTCTGCACCAGGTTCCAGGGAGCAGCTGTGTCGGGGAGGAAAGCAGGGTCCTCAAAGTGACGATGTTGTTGAATCTACCACCTCACGGCCGTTGCAAACGGTGGGGACAAACTGGGAGCCAGATCCTAGGAAAGGAAGCCAGAGATTGGGGCCAACTCTGAGGTCCTTCACAGAGAGGGGGCAGCAGAGGAGGCAGGCTCCTTCCCCCTTCATTCCTCCCTCTCCTGTCCAGCCTCATCTGAGGGGCCCTCCACCTCCAGTCAAGGAATCCCAGCAACCCAAGGAGTGTCCCCCATGCTGAGGAGCTGAGGCAGAGAGAAGACTGCTTAGGATGAGTTGCTGACCTTGGCCGAGGCTGGAGCTGGCCCTGGTGGCGGCGCTGCTGAAGCGGCTGGTGGGTGCACGGTGGCTGACCACATTCTTCTGTGGCTGGAAAAGGATGATGTGCAACTTGGGTGCAAAGAGACAGCCGAGCACCACAGAGCCACTGAGGCTGACTGATACACACATGGTGGTGGTCTGTACCTGGGATGGGTGAAGTCAAGGATGAGTCTGGCCCCAGCATCCCTGCCCAGGCTATGGGGGTAGGGAGTAGGGAAGATGGTAAGCATCCAACACCGGGCCTTGGTCCATTTGCTAAGCCCCAAAGGATTTCTAGGAAGGTGGGCACAGTCCCAGCATCAGCCTGTGGACCACCTTCCCAGGGAGATCAAAATTCCAGCTGAGGGCGTGAACATGCAGGGGTCCAGGGGTGTATGTGTGCATTGGAGTACACGTGCTGGTGTGTGTATGAGTGTGTATCTGCATGCATATGTGTGCAGGTATGTGTGTGTGCATGAGTGTGTGCCTATGTGCACGTGTGCATGTGTGAGTACTGTGTATGTCCAGGTTAGTCTTTAATCACCTATGATTGGCATGCAAATGCAAATCATATGCAAATGCAGGCTGAGTCAGAGCAGATTCCCTCCCCAGCCCTGGCCTCCACCAACCAGGCAGGTGGCCCAGCAGGTGCAACAGCAGCCAAGCCCAGCCGCCCTGGCCCCCAGCACTGCCCACCATACCTCTGTCCTGGGGGAAAGGGCCTTTCCAGGGGCTCTTGTCTCGATTTTCCTGCTCCTTTAATTGTTAAGATTGTCAGTTCAGACCCTGCTCTACACTCCCAAGCTGAGTGACCTTAGGCAAGGGATTGAACCTCCCTGAGTCTCCGTTTCTTCGTCTGTAAAATGGGGAGAGCCACGGAGTTTACTCCAGAGTCGTGAGGACTCACCAAGATGATCCTTTTATTGTTCAGAGCTCAGCTCATTGTCACCTCCTCAAATAAGCCTTCCCTGACCACCCCATCAGAAGCAGCCATTGCCCCCTTGAAGCTAAGGAGACCTACGGAGACACTCAGTGCCAGCTGGAACTTTGCTTGGAAGCCACCAACTGGGGTGCCATTTCCACCTGCTTTATCCTTCCTCAACCCTGTATCTCAGATCTCAAGCTGCTCTGTGCTTCACCTTCTCTGCCTTCCCTGCTTTCTTCTCTCAACCCCAGAGCTGCACAGCTCCAGGGGGGCGCCATGCCACACTGCACAGTTCTGAGAGGCATCAGAATTGTGCCCTTTGGAGCCATATGGCCTGATAGCCTTGCCATTCCCATTCCTGCTTTCCACTCTCACCTCCGCCTACCTTCCACCATCTGTGCCTCCTCTCCTTGAGGGAGGTCAGTGCACACCTTCTGCTCCAGTCAGCCTCTGTATTGACTACCCTCCCCTATCTTCTCCACCCAACTTATCCAAATCTGCCTGTCTTGCAGAGTGCAGTTCAAGGACTCCTCTTCCAAGAAGCCCTCCATGATTCCCTCTAAACACACAGACACACACCATACCACACCACACCACACCACACCACACCTCCCTCTTCTGTGCTCTTTCTAGGACCTTTGGTCAACCTAACCAAATCAGCAACATTTCCTGACTCAATTCTTTAGTTGATCCCCTGATCACCCACCCACTAAACCAGGTGTCCTCTTCTGCAGCTAACCCTTCAGTGGAGCAGGGCAGTTCATTTGGACATATTTCAGCACATGCATCTCCTCAAGCTTAGAGCATGACATCCAAGTCCTGAAATCTCAGCTGTAACTCCTCCACCTCCTTGGCCATTGCCTTAGGCCCCACTCAACCCTCCTGCCCCCCCCACTGGAGTCCAGTCCCACCTGGGTCACCACAAGCTGTGTGCCCATGGGTGAGCATTCAGCCTGTTGGAACCTCTGAGTTATCAGAAGAGTAAACAAGATACTGGGAAACAGAAGGTCCAGTGTCCACTCCCACCCCCAGCTGCCACTCTGCAGCAGGTAGCTCACCCGGTAGTCACTGGAGGTGACATAGAAGATGGGCAGGAAGGCCAGCCAGATGATACAAGTGGTGTACATGGTAAAGCCTATGAATTTGGCCTCATTGAAGTTCTCAGGGCACTTGCGGGTCTTGAAGGCATAGAGTGTGCAGAGTGCGATGAGGAGCACGTTGTAGGCCAGTGAACCCAGCATGCTTGCATCTCGATGGTTGCAGCGCAATGTTACCACCTCCCGCCGCTCTGGGGCTGTCTCCTTGCCTGTGCCTGGTGCTTCCACCACCAGCCAGGCAGCTACAATGAGCAGCTGGCCCGAGATAAGTGCCAGGCAGATGGCCACCTGCGAGGCAGGACTGATGAAGCGTGGTCGCTGGGCTCCCTCCCGGGCCCCACCAAAGATGCGTGCAATGCGGTTGGTCTTGGTGAGCAGAGCTGAGTAGCAGACAGAGAAGGCAGTGCCCAGACCAAGGCGCCGTAAGGTACACACCACCGTGGATGGCTTGGCAATGAAGATGAAGGTCATGCAGTAGCAGAGGAAGACACCGCCCAACAGGATGTAGCAGAGCTCCCGTCCAGAGGCCTTGACCACAGGTGTGGCATTGTGCCGCACAAAGACACCCAGCACAAAGAGGGTCGCCAGGGCACCTAGACAGGCGATGGTGACAGGTCCCACAGCCCAGGCATCACCCCAGCGGATGTACTCCTGGGGCAGCTCAAAGCAGCCGGTCAGGCTGGCATTGGGCCAGTAACCCAGGCCACAGTCAGCACAAGTGAATTCGTCCAGCCGGTACTCGTAGGGCTGGCAGGGGATGCAGAGCCAGCAGCAGACCTCCCCTGGCTGCACGCTCTTCACTTCATTCTGGAGACAGGGCTCACTGCAGCGAGAGGCGGGCAGGGGGCCGGCCGAGGGCGAGGCCCATGGGATGAGGCTGGTATCCAGGGTTAGGCCTTCTGCCCAGTAGCCTACCTTCTGGTAGCGATAGCGCCCACTCCCTGCCCGCAAATAGGTGAAGATGTTGTAGCGACCAATGCCATCACCAAAGCGGTCAAAGCGGACCTCACTGTGCGTGTCAGCCGGGCGGAAGGGGGCTGGAGTTGGGGAGGGAAGAGAAGGTTGGATTGGTGGGTAATCTTGATGTGACCTCAACCCTCACCCTACATGGGACCCAAACCACAGAGCTGAGGCCACTCCTTGCTCTTCCAAGCCTCACCCCAACACTAAAGTTAGCCTTCCTCCCCGCCATTTTTCTAAATGAGAGGCTACAAACAAATCTCAACTCTAAACTCCAAATAGAACCTAAACCTCAAAGCCTAGGCACCTCCACAAACCTACTGCCCTCACCAATCCCCAACCATGACTCCCCAAAACCTAGCCTTATACCTACTCTCCCATATCTTCCAACCTAGATCCCAACCTTATCATAAGACACACCACAGCCCTCTCCCCAGACTTAACATGGACTTCTTCCCAGCTAAATTCAGCCTCGTGTCTAGTCCTGGTCCCACTTAATCCACTTAATGACAATCCAGACCCTCCAGTCCTAATACTAACCCCAATGCTAGCCAAACCCCAACCTCAGTGGTCATCTATAACCACTGATGGTCACCAGGATGTACTCATCAGGCAGCTCACAAGACACTTCAACTCCTCATCTCCGCTGGCCTGGGAACCTCACATCTCCCAACCAGGCTCAGGAGGAAGCAGGATCCCTGCCATCCCAGGTGCCACTGAGAAGTTGGAGTTCATGCTAGCATATGATGTGCTTAAGGCCCCACCATGAATGGTGCAGCCTGGAGTCCCTTGAAGGTCCCCCACAGCCTGAGGCATTCATTGTTCTTAAAACCAGGAAGTTGATTAAAATAAATCTAGGTATGAGGGCGCCACTTAACTGACTCAGTCAGTTAAGTGTCTGACTCTTGATTTGGGCTCAAGTCATGATCTCAGGTAGTGAGACCCAGTCCCACATCATCAGGCTCTGAGCTCAGCGGGAAGTCTGCTTCTCTCCCTCTCCCTTTTCCCCCTGCTCCCACTCATGTGAGTTTGTTCTCTCTAAAATAAATAAATCTTTTTAAAAAAGGCCTATGGGGCACCTAGATGGCTCAGTCAGTTGAGTGTCTGCCTTCAGCTCATGGCTTAGGTTGTGGTCCCAGGGTCCTGGAATCAGACCCTCCTGTCTGACTCCCTGCTCGGGAGGGAGTTTTCTTCTCCCTCTGCCCTTCCCCCCACTTGTGCTCTCTCTCTCTCTCTCAAATAAACAAAATCTTAAAAATAAATAAATAAATACCTATAAAAATAGATTTTGGTATGAAGAGACTGGCCACCTTGAATGAAAAAAATCAAGTCTAGGAATAAATTTTCTCAGAAAACGGAGTATTTCTTAATGCTCACTTTTAACCCATCCTTATTCTGACTCTCACTAATGTTTTCCTGCCTGAGAATGGGCTTGAGAACCGCCAGTTCCCACTCCCTGCAGGATAAAAAGTCAGGAGGGAGGGAATACAAGGCCCAAGCAGGAAACTAGAGACCCTCCAAGTGCAGTACCATGTCAGAAAGTGGAACCTCAGTCCTGGCTCCAGTTGGAGAGCCCTGTCTAGCCATCCTTGTCCTGGCTCTGCCAGCCCCCTGGGTGACTCCCTTGCTTGCTGTAGGCCATGTTCCCTTAGCCAGGTAATGGAACCTGAGGACCCACTCCCTCCTGTCCTCCAAAGGCCAACAGCTGGTGGCTACTGGCTAGCCTCATTACCATCAAATTTGACGTTGAGTACGAAGTCCTTGTAGAGCCGGCGTCCATTGACAGGCCGCATTGCATCACAGAGTTGGGTGGTGTTGGGGCAGAGGGCTCGGTGCATGTTGTGCAGCGCATGGGCCATGGCATACACTGCATTAACGACAAACATGATCTTGGACTCTTGCTCAAAAGGCACGGCCCGTAGTGAATGGGCTGCGCAATCTCGCCGCCGGAAGCTACAGTGGAACCTCTGCTCCCAGAACTCACGGAACCAGGGGTTCCGGCTGTTGTTCCAGGGGTCCAGGCTCCGGAAGTAGGAGGCAAAGTCACTGATGGGATAGGAGGCCAGCTCAATAGTGATGGCACCCTCAGCAGCCCTCTCACTGCCTGCCACCACACTCTCCAGGGCCCCCCAGCCATCGCTGGCCACCCAGGTGAAGCTGGCATTGAGGCGCTGGGTAGCCGCGAGGAGCTCGCGGGCATCCTCAGAACGGGTGAACAGGACAGCCACACGGGCACTGGGCTTCTGCAGCAGGGCTCGCACCACACCCTCAAAAGCTGCGCGGCTCATGGCACGGCCCACTTTCTCCGAGGTAGCCACACAGATGTTGCGGGCACGGGCCTCTAGCTCAAAGGCTTCGATGCCTGTCTCGCCATAGTCACCCTCGGATGCCACAGTGGACACATAGGTCCAGTTGAAGAAGCGGAGAATCTCAGCCATGGCTTTGGCTTGGAAGAAGTCGGGGGGCACTGTGCGGGCAAAGTAGTCATAGCGGGACTTGTCACTCAGCTTGGCGCTGGTGGAGGCATAGCTAATCTGTGGGATCTGAAATAGCCGCAGGAGGTTGGCCACCTGGGGGAGGGGTAGAGCAGGCAAAGATCAGAGATCAGGTCAAACTCAAAAGACAGATGTGTTCTTCACAGCTACTCAACCTTGGGATCAAATGTCTGTGTGGTCAGCCTTGAGGTCTCCCTCACCCCAAAGACCTATATCCTGTCTTGATGTGTCTTCCCTCCAAGGGCACAGAGTTTTCCTTCCCAAAGGCTGGGAGAGAGAAGACCTAGGGCTGAGGCACCAGGCTCCTGAACCACACTAGAACCCTGCTTTCATCTCCCTTCAGATGCATAGCAGTAGCAAAAGTAGGGAGGCAAGGGAAGGTCCAAATCCTGAAAGGGGAAGAGGTTGGCACTTGGCTGCACAGGGCAGCAGGGGGCACTAGCTGGCATCTGGGCTGCTCAGGGTTCTTAGGCTTTCTATGTATTTGGAGCAGGTATCCCTTTGCCAGAGTCTATCCTGATGGAATGATAGAGAAAGAAGGAAAAAGCTTCCCCAAGAAAGAAGACCAGATCTGAAAGCCCTATGGCCTTGAGAACCCAAGAATTGGTCTCTACTGGATGGCTGAGCTTGAAATAAACAAGGCTTCCTGCTTAACACTGACTGCCTGGGACCAGCCCCCAAGAGTGGGGTCCAGACAAGAACCTGGTGAGATGGGTAGGTGAGAGCAGGACAAAATCCAGTTCCCACAGGAGGGAGTTAGGTTTGTCTTTGCACACAGGCTCTTACTGTGAATCTCAATGCCTCTCTTGTACTTTCTGCCTGTGTCCCTGGGCAAGTTAGCAAAACTCTCTGAGCCTCAGTTTCTCATTCCTGCCTGACAAGGCTGCTGAGCAGATAGAAATGAGAATGTATGTGAGGCCACAGTGACTGGCATATGGAAGACGAGAGGGATTTGGGCAGGAATGGGGAAGAATGATAACAGGCAGGTGCAACCTAAGGATGAAGGGCTGGGTCTTGTTTTGACTCAGACAAGGAAAAAGTAGACCGATGTTAAAGTGTGGGTCCTGCTATAGGAGGCAGCAGCTTGGGGTGGGAGGAAGGTGACTGGGTCCTGGAGATGAATGCATGGAGCCCTGAAGAGAATTATGGAGAGGGTGGGTGCTAGGAAAGCACCTCAGAGGCCCCTGAAGACATCAGCCAGTGGGAGGTGGCACATGTAGGTGGCTGCTACCGGCCACCTCCAGTAGGTGGGACTAGCAGAACCGGTAATTCATTCCCTGCAGTAGGGGGATGAGCAGGCCTCCCTGATCCTAGGCCAGAAGCTGCCTCCATAGTGCAGACTCCTGCTTCATTTCTCCTGAATAAGCATTCCACGTCAGGGGTCCTGGCCTGCCTCTAATTCCAGTGCTCTCAGCCAGACTCCTAAAAGAAGCTTAAGCCCCAGCCAAGGCCCTCCTTGCAAATCCTGACCCTGATCCCAGTTCTGACCTCATCTGGCAGCCTGTTCTGGGGACCAGGCAGGCAAGGGTCCAGGTAAGAGGTGGGACCCAGTCTGGGAGGGGGAAGATCCCACTTGGGCTAAAGCAGCGAGGTGTGCTCAGGGATATCAGCTGGGCCAGTACAATCTGCTTACCTCTTGTGAGAAAGCAGGAGGATGGAGGACCTTGTTTCTACCCCTTCAAATCCTGTCTGTACCCCTTGAAGACCCTAGGGGACTCTCCCCCTGCTAGACACATTCTGCTTTTCTTTCTCCAGGGTCTCCACCCCTGTTTCTCTTCTCTGGGGTTCTCCTGGCTTTTGTCTTCCACCCGTTTCAAGCCCATGGAGAGATAATCTGACAGAGCTGGAGGCCCTTAGCTGAGGGCCCTGGGGGATTGTTTTCACGTGCCCAGCACCTGCCTCTCTTCAAGCCTCAGTTTCTCCATCTATAAAATGGGGTATTAATAACAGCAGCTAATATTGATTATGCCTCTGATACATGTTTTGCATGTATTATCTCATTAGATTTCCACCACAACCCTAAGAGTGGCAAATGTTAGGATTGTCCTATAGTTCTATAAGGAGGAAACAGAGGCATAAAAGGGAGAAATAGTGCCCAGAGTCACATAGTACGTGGGAGAGCCAGGGTTCAAACCTGGAGTTCTGACTCAAGAGGCCTGGCTACTAAGCTTCTCATGACTGTTTAACCTCAGGGGTGTGTGTGTGTGTGTGTGTGTGTGTGTGTGTGTGTTTGTGTGATGGAAGCGGGATGTTTTCCTTCCACAATCTCTAAAAATCAACCCCCACTATATGACAGAGGCATTTTCTTAGTATCACACAAAAAGCTACTTATAGGAAGCTCCTAGCCCCTTTTCCAATGTGTGGCATCACGGAGCCCCGTTAAGAGGGAATTCTAGACTCCCACCTCCAGACTCCCTACCCAGCCCCCAGTTGGATAGCCCCCACATACCTGGATGGAGACATCGCTGTAGGAGCCGCCAATGACACCAGTGATGGCAGTGGGAGCATCACCGTGGGTGGCATACGAGCCATCGGGGCAGATGTGGCGTGAGCCATCGGCACCACGGCTAAGCGAGGCACGCACGAAGTCGAGTGCCTGCTCCAGGGCATGTGTGTCCTTGGAGCAGCTGTCGAGAATATGCGCGCCCAGGCGCACGCCTGGCAGCAGGTGTGGGTCACGGTTGATGCGGTCCAGTGCAAAAAGCATGGCCTCCAGGCGCTGGATGCCACGATGCTCATTGACAGGCCCACACTCCTCTGCTGGGCCACCCTTCTGGTGTACTGGAAACAGCCCACCCAGGACCAGGTCCCCCTCCAGGGTCAGCACCTTCTTGGCAGGGCCCTCAGCCACAGCGCCCCATAGCAGCAGCAGTGCCAGGAGCCCAAGCAGTGATCCCATAGTCCCAAAGGGGATGGATGGGTCCAGCAGACCTGGGCCTCCAGGGGATGAGGATAGAAGCAGCAAAGGCAAAGAAAGGAGGAAGCAGGGACCAGGAAAGGACAGGCAGGAAGAGAATTTAGAAGGGACCCAGCTCCTGCAGAGAAAGAGACAGACAGACAAACAGGGAGAAGTGGAACCCAAGAGTGGCCAACCCTTCTAACTCTGCCTTCCCCAATTCCCTTCCCTAGGGACTTTTCTAGGGAGTCAGGGAGAGACAGTATCACAAACTAGGCTGAAAAGCTCCCGGGACACCCTTTGGCCTGTTTCTCAACCTTGCCCTGATCTAGGTCTGTAGATGGGCTCCATGCCCATTCCATACTCAGCAGAGAAAGAGGGAGGCAGAGAGTAGAGGCCCAGACAAGTCAGAAGACCTGAGCCAACACTAATCCTGTTGTGAATCAGAGTGTCCAAGACCTTGTACAAAGCTTCTAGGACCCCAAAGTCAATATTGCAGCAGTGGCCAGGTTAGAGTATAAACTTGGGGCTCTAGTCCCTATGCTGAGACTTGTGTTTCCAGAGATGGGCCCTTGTGGCTGAAACCCACCAGGAAAGAGGGAAGGAAAAAGGTCTCCAAAGGGTAGTTTCCAACTCCTACAGAGACTGGAGCCCAGGTGAGCACCCAAGGGTCCTAGCCCCTAGTTCTTAAAAATCCATCCCCAGAGCCCCCTGACTGAGGAAGTAATAGAATCTCTAGGCCCTGGGAGTTTGACAGCAAGGTGGAGAGGCTGGCCCCAGGGAGGGTCACTGAAGTGGCCTTAAGTGGTCTTAAGTCAACAGGGAAAGTAGATGTGAACATATGTGTGTCCAGAGTCAGGGGCAATTCATCTGGTCAGAATCTCAAAACAGTGCTCAAGATGAGACTTTTGGACACCTTAGCTCTGCATTAGAATGCTGTTCGAGACTTTATGCCTCTGTTTTTTCTTCAGCTCAGATCCAAGTAGAGACAGTCATCATCTCTAATCTCCCTATCCTCATCCTCTCCCCATCCTGTCCACCTTGGCCCTGGCCCTCAGAGACCCCTCCTTCCCTCTTCCACTCTGCAGTTCATGGTTTGTACCCCAGCTACCCTCCTGGATGCCCACCCCACACAGGCTCTCACAATCATGCAGGCTTGGGAAGTCTAGGAGAGGGAAACTGAGGCTGAAGAAGGCCAGCCACTAGTTCAAGGACCCCAGGTCCTGACCACAGAAACTGGGATTCTTCACTTTGTCCCTCAGCTCCCCAGGGTTAATCTCTCCCTGGTGCCAGGGCAGGGAGACTGGGATCCTGTGGGTACCCAGAAAGAAGCAGTTCAACCAGGCAACCAGGAGAGAGAGGCAAGCATGAAGACCAGGACAGATAGGGAAGGGACCCAGATGGGGGCTGAGGCCCAAACTAGTCAAGACCACAAGCCTCTCACAGGGGCAGCCAGGACCAAAATCCAGACAAGGACAATACCCTGGAGGGAGACAGAACCCCAGAGGTAGACAGCCAGGGGGCCTGTGCCACGAAATCCGGGCAGGGAGTGATTGAGCCCAAGAGGCTGACACAAAGACAGAGGCACAGACAGACAGACCAGAGGATGGAAGGAGAGGAGGAACGAAGGAGCGTGATGCAGGGCGTGCGTTCTCTGGGGAAGAAAGGCGGGATGCCTGGGGCTGTCTTCCCGCTTCCTGGAGCTCCTGGCAAGCACTGTCTGGGCGCCCTGGCCCGTCCCGGCCCGGGCGCCCCAGAACTCGAGGGCCCACGGGTCTCCGGGACATGGGGTCAGGATCAATAAGGTTGGCGGTGGCCGCGGCACCACGGGCTTACCCTACCTGGCGCGCCCGACTCCGGCGCGGAGAGAAACGGAGAGGAGCGGGGGGCGCAGGGTTCCAGCTCTCGCTCACTGGCTTGCTCCCTCGCTCAGCAGCTCTGCGCTCTCCGCCCGCCAGCTCGCCCGGCCGCTTTCAATCGCGGCCCGCCCCGCCCCGGGCCCCGGCCCGCCCCCAGCCCCTCCTCCGTTCCTCCCCACTCCGGATCTCCCGCTCCCAACCCGGCCTCCGCCTCCCTCCAGACTCCAGCACAGCTCCTTGCCCTGCGCCTCCGGCTTCTGTTCTTCGCGGGGCTTCTGTCCCGGAGCTGTCCACCGCGTGGTGCTGAATCCTCCGGCGCTCCTGCTCTGCGCAGGAGCAGGTGTCTATCAGGCCCCTCCACCCCGTGGTCACACTGCAGCCCACAGAGCAGCGGGTACGGGACACAGGGACGGGAAGGTCACTGAGTCCAAAGAGGTATACACAGTGTTACGGGTGCTATCTTTGAGAGCGGAGGGGCTAGCCTTAGGGTTGCAAAGTGCCATTGGGAGATATGTAGAAGGACACCTGGGAGATAAGTAGAGAGCTTAGCCTGCTGCAACAAGTCTGTCCCTGTCCTCACATCCATTCTCTCCAACCACAGACTGCAGCTCAGTCCACAAGCCAGACTTGGGGTAGGGGCATATGCCTTTGGCCCGATGTGAGAGCTGGGGCTTGCTTGAGTCACTAGGAGGAAGACATGGAGGAGGGGTCAGAGGAGGATGGGGTTTCCTCTTCCTGCAGATGACCTTTAAAGCTGCTACCCACCACCACCCCCATACCTAGCCCTGACCTCCTGCCCCACCAACCTCCACTAATCCCCACCCTCGTGTACAATGGGTATTTATGGCAAAAAGATATCAACCTGGGGTGCGTAGGGGTGCTGCAAGGCCAGGGACTAGGGTCAACCCTAAGGAACATGCTGGGGCTGGCAGGGGCATCTTGGGGAGGAAGGGAATAGGGAAGAGGCTCCTGAAACTGGCTGCTGCGTAGGAGGGAATGGGAGCTGGAGCCCAATCAGAGGGAGGACAGCTCTGAGAAGATGCTCTTGACTCTTCTTCCCTCCTGCAGCAGAATGGAGGACGCCCCTGGGTAGAAGATGGTGGAAAAACTGCAGCAACCAATTGTGCTGAAGGGTTTGGGGAGGGGGCCTGCACTCAAGTTTAGCCTCAGAGCCTGTATGCACACCAGGTGCTAAGGCAAAGAACATCCCTACATATGCTCCCCTGGTGCTGCCCTTTCTTCCACAGGTGTCAGTAGAGGCAAAGCTAGCTTAGACACATGCTAATGAGCACATGCCAAGCCCAGGTCCCTCTGGCACATACATCTACATATGCGTGTGGCAGTTAGGGGGCAGGAGTGTCACCAAGGAAGGACAGGCTTTTTCCCTGGACGCAAAACCCGGATGCCCCACTGTGCTGGGAAAAGCTCAGCTGTGAAACAAACACATCAAACCCAAACAAACCCAAACTCCACTATTAATGGGAGGTGAGGTGACAGCAGGATGAGGGTTCAGAGTTGTCAGACAAGGCTGGAGAGACAGATACACTGTCTTCCAGCTCTGGCTGCGCTCATCATCTCTGGCTGGTTCAAAGCAACTGCTGCCTGGGGGAGGTGAGCGATGAGCTGAGCCATTGGAGCAGTGGGGTTGATAGCAGCAGGGTGCTGAGGTGAGAGGAGCTGCACAGCAATCCCAGCCCACTCACTAAGATAGCCTCACAAAAGACCTAGGGCTTTAAATACAGCATCAGTCCCAGAGGCCCATTACACGGCCCGCAGCAAGCAGGCTACACAGTGCTGCTGCAGCACGTGGACAGTTATGCACCCGGCTACGCAGCCACCACTCCCAGCTGTGCCCACAAAGACATATACCCAGTCTTATAGAGCTGTACATATGGACATGACCACAGAGAAGTACACACAACCACACACACAGCTTTACATGTAGACACATAACTGTATTCATGGACATACATGTGGACATGTCTACACATATACAGATAAACTCATAGACATAGCTGTACTGATCTATAGCTTTACACATGAACACACAGTACAGCTGTACACAGACACAGAACTACACATGGAGAGCTGTATATGGACAAAGCCCCAAAAATGATGCTTCTAGCTGGTCAGTCTCACACCCCTATTAGTACCTCCACACATAGTTAAGACACATAAAGGAGAGCATCGTGTGAATATAATAACCACATAGCCATCCACACAAACACAGCCATACCCAGCCACAATCACATCCTAATGCCTGCTTGAGTACAGCTTCACGCAGGGCTACCACAAGCAGACCCATCCACGGTTACACACACAGAACCAAAGATGTGTGTATGTATGTGCTTCTGCAGGTACATAGTCACTGACAGGCACAGCAGGGATATCCTCACCTGCTGAGCAGATACCAGCATGAGCACAGGTACACTCGAGCCACAGACACAAAGGCATCCCTTGGAAGTAGAGGCTGTGAGTTCCCCAACTCCTGAGCCCTGAAGGATACCCTATGCTTGGCTCTTACACTCCTTGACCTGCTCTGCCTGTTTCCCGGCAACCTGGGGGAGCCTCTGGGACAGATTCAATGGAGGAGCAGCTGTCAACTGGGGCCACAAAGCAGGGAGTGGAGAGCCTTCAATATTCCTTTCCCCCTCTCACCCTACAGTACCTTGCCACATTTCCTCCCCTCCTCAGCCTGGGGGGGTACTCCTGCCCACTCCCAGCCTGTCTGCACTGGGCTCCTCAAGGTGAAACACACACACACAAAAGCACAGCCCAAATCCAGATGAAACAGGAAAATCATTTGCTTTATTCTGGGTCCTGGAAGCTCCAATGTGAATCTGAAAAAACATGTCAGAGGGGCGGTAGCCCCGGGGTCTGGGTGCAGAATATAGTCCCTGGCTTCTTTGGCCCTGGAAGCCGAGAGGGTGGTGAGAAGGCTTGGCTAGAGCCCGGGGCAGTGGAAGTCAGGTCCCCCTGAAACCCCTGGCCCCAGCTTGGGCCTGAGAGGTGAAGAAGAAGAGGGCTGGAGAGTCTGCTCAGTTCCTCAGCAAATGCACCCCAGAAGGGTACAGGCCTAGGGTTACTCCTCACCCTTTTCAGGAGTACTAGGTTCCCGGGGCCATTTGGTAGCCCCCAGGGGCTCAACCTCAGGGCTCAGCCTTGGCTCCCCCAGGGGTCCCTCGCCTTCCAGGTCCAACTCTTCAAAGGATGAGCCACTGGCGCCTGACTCGCTATAGCTGTGCTCACTGCGGGTATCACCGTCGTCCCAGCCACGGCTGCTCACTCCAGGGGACAGTGTGGCAGCTGAAGTCTCCCGGCTGCCAGGACCCACCTCCAGGCTTACAGAACTTGTGTCACTCGTCGTGTCAGCTCCTGTGCCAGGAAGAGGGAGCACACGTTAGCTAGGACAGGGAGAGGACAGACGCCCTGCCATTTGCTTAGGAACCGGCATACACAGTGTGCTCATGAATAATAAAGTAGGCCCTAGCTCAGGAGGCTCATTCCAGCTGCCCTCTGCCCTCACCAGAGCTGCACTGACAGGGCAACGGGAGGGAGGGAGAGGGAGAGAAAGAGAGAGAGCACAGGCAGGCAGCCTGCTATGCACTCCTCTCCCTTCCCCTGAATTAGCCTTACAACTCCCTGTGCTCTCACAAAGCCTGCTGTCCCCCTCCCCCCCCAACAGTCCATTAAGGACCACTCAGCCCTGAGGTGAGGATCTGAGGACAGAACAAAGAGACTCAAGCTAATGTCCCCTTCTCCACATCCCATTTCAGGCTTGGAGAGAGGTTTGTCCAAGGCCAGCTATAGATAGTACCCATAAGGCATGAGGACAGGAGAATGGACCAGGAGGCCTACTCTCTTGTCCCCTCCCCCATGCAGGGCTCCCCAAGGAGCAGCTATATCTAGGAAGGCAGCTGGCTTCAGCCTCTTGCCCCGGTTAAGTCCTAATGTGAGAAGGCAGCAAGGGTAGGGAGAAGTGGGATAGAGAAGTCCTGAGAAACCAGTTCCAAGGAAGGAGTGTACTAGGATAAAGCTTTTTATTTTTTTTATTTTATTTTTTTATGAGGAGGTCCTTTATTTATTTTTGACCTGTGCCTGTTTATTTTTTTTAATAAATTAATTTTTATTGGTGTTCAATTTACCAACATACAGAATAACACCCAATGCTCATCCCGTCAAGTGTCCCCCTCAGTTTTAAAGGCTTTCTTCCCCTATGCCTGGGTCACCCCAGAGGAACCCTTAATTATCCCCAACCATTACTGGTGGTTCATGCACCACAAAACAGCAGAAGGGGACCATGAGAGCACTATTCTGGCAGCTGGAGAACCCTGAGACAGGGCTGAGGGTCCAGATCCCTCCCAGTCTGTTCCTCCCACCCCTAACACATCTTCCAGGCAAGGAGACACTTCATCTGCCCTGTTCAGGAGCAGCCCCTTAATCCCTTAATTTATCTCCCCAGATCAGAGGCACTGACAACAGTTGGTGAGGGGCAAGGAGGAACAAAGAGCCCAGGCCCACTGTGTAGGAATCCAGATTGAAAGAAGGCTGATATGCCTCCCTTCTGTGTTATCCGGAGAGAGGCAGCTGTCAAACATCACAGAGGTGAGGGGTGGGCCAACTTCCCCAGATCTTGTCTCCATGGTGATGGAGCCCAGAGCCAGGAGCAGCTGGGGACTGTTTGGCATTTGGACTTGGCCTGCAACTTTCACTGAGCCTCAGATGGGGACTAAAGTAAGGGTGGGGGGATTTGAGGCCTGCTCTTCCTGTTCCCTTGGCTCCAAGAAGATGCCCCTTGGGCCTATTGGCAGAGATGAGGTGGGCTCTGGAAGTGCCAGGCTACTGGCCTAGGGCCCTCTTCTTGCTGGGGCCCCAGTCATGGCATCCAGAATACAGGCAGCCAAAAGTGAGCCTGGGCTATACCTTCAGTTATGAGTGGTTGCCTTCTAACTCTGGGGCAGGACTCCAGCTCTTTATTCCCTCTTTAAATGACAATCAGTGCCCCGAGTGCTACAGGCCTGAAATGAGGAAATGAAATGGGGCTCCCAGGCCCCATTAAACTG